ATAGAATTGAAAATGCGAAGCGTTCTATGACCCCAAAAATGAGAAAACGAAGGCAGAGGAGGTCAAACGTCTAATGAAATTGACTTTCTACACACAGCGTAAACAAGTGAACCAGGGCGGAGATATAAAATGCCTCCTGAAAGAGTGGCCATTTTTATTCAACGAACTTGGCATGGCAGTCCATTTCAAAGAACTTGCCGGAATTGGACTTAAAGAAACTTTCACCCGGAATGTGGATCTGAAGGGGAAACGACTCTTGAACTACTTCAATACTGTTGGTGTGAACAGGAACAAAAAGTTCCTACAGGCTGTAACAAACTTGAGAGTGATCAGGGGAGAGTTGAGTGGTTGCTCTGAAGACGTCAAAGAGATGTTGCTGCTTTTGCTGTCCTACTTTAACAAGAAGGAAGACGCAATGCTCTGTTATGTGGAGGACACCTGCCTGGCCAAGGAAGTACAGATGGACCAAGTTCGTTTGACTCCCACCCTCAACCCGGTCTCATTGGAAATACGTACCTCTGCACACTTTTTTGCAGCGCCAGAAATATGTACCAACCGCTACGTATAGCTACAGTTTTGAAACACAAACGTCCACTGGGTTCGCTAAAGAGACTGTAGGCTACGTGACATCGTGATCGATGTAATACTCGTATATCCCATTATCCTAAAACTGGGTTATTTTAGTGATAAATGTTAAGGGGTACGTGTTCTTTTATTGAATCATGTTTGCTGTAATGGTAAATGGAAAGTTAGAACCATGTGAGTGCTCATGACGTCAGAAGGACAGATATGCGAATGCCTGTGTGATTTAGCTAACGTTAGCAGCTAGCTGAAATTCATCAGCATAGCTAGGCTACATCTCCAGAACCCCGGCAAAGTAGGTATGTTTGTAGCCAGGTGGGTAGTGAGCTAACGCTTGCTAAGGTATTTTTTTAGCGATACGTTTGCTGTAATGGTAAATGTGACGATAGAATCATGTGTGAGCACTATCGATGAAATCAATGCTCTGTTACGTATCCTGTAGTATGTTTTGTAGTTAACGTTAGGTGGATAACGTTAGTGAGATAAGTTAATGTTAGCTACCCTGTACAGTCTGAACGATTTGCACATACAAACATTCAACAAATAAGTGCAAACAAATGCGAGATATTGCATTATGTATATAAGCTTAATCTGCGTCCATATCCAAAGAACTACAAATCCCATGTCGACCAATTAAGTTCGTGTTGCCATAATACGGCAATATACAACATGTATACAACATGGTGTAATTATTATTTGTTGTACAGTAGGAATTAGGAAACTATATTTCCGTGTAGCCAATTGCCTTATATCACCAACATTTTTTAAGTGTGCTTGCAGGTACCCGCCACATCAATTAGAGGAGGAAGAGTGACGTTTTTTAGCCTATCAAGCAGGTTAGTCTTTCATGTAGCACCAACTTGAGCCATGGCCATGATTGCATGTGACTTATGACTGTGTAGTACTACATTTATTTATTTATTAATTTATTACTACATTTATTTCTTACAGCAAAGATGCCTTATTAATTTCAAAACATTTGAAGTAGGCTATGGACTAATTACGGCCAGGACAGGATGTGAAAACAAGACATGTCCTGGGAAAACAGGACTGTTGGTCACCCTACATGCAGTTTATGTAGTTAGACTAGATGTTTTGGTTCCGTTTCCCAAGCAACTAGCCTACTTTGCCAGGAGTTTCTATAGCAAAATGTTTACAGTTCCCTTGCTAAAATATGCTTTGGTACTTTCCTGTTATCCGGACCCCACCATATACCATTTCAGAACTATAGTCATCCCTCATTGGTCTTAACCCCAGTGACGGGAAGGTTTAGGGGCGGGGTTAGGGGTAGGCTATCGTGGGGTCCGGATAACAGAAAAGTACCAACTTTCTTTTAAAATATTTGAAGATCACTATCTCTCTGCCTTTTGCACTATAACGCAGACAAGTGAGTTAAATAATGCTAGTTGTCTCTTTTCTCCCATTTTTTTTTTTTTTTACTCCGCCTTTGTGTTCCAGACTTCATGTGATGAGAATATCAGCGATGCTGATAGAATATATCGGGAATGCCAGCAGAGCGGACCACTTTGTTTTTTTGACTGTGTCCCTCCAGCTGGCATGAACCATTGTCTAAAGATTGGCGAGGGGACATGTGCAGAGGTCTTCTCGATTTCAAATGGTTCTAATGAGGCCATCGCTCTCAAAGTATGTGCTCAATTTATCCATATACAATTTCATTGTAGAAGCATATTATTTACTGTCTTACAGGGCACAGGGTGACTTAATGCACCTAACACATACATAAATTCAAAATGTATTTTAAATATTATATCTATTTATGTAAATAGATGTTTAGTCACTGATTTTTAAGCAGAATTATTTCTTAAACATACAAAAATGACTGAAGTGATGTTTAAGTGTAATTTCCATAGATCATCCCTGTAGAAGGAAGTCATCGAGTCAGCGGTCAACATCAGAAAACGTTTCGTGAAATCCTCCATGAAATCATCATTTCTAAGTAGGATCTCTGGCATATCTCAACAAATATGTTATGCATTTGAATGAGTGGTGTGTAAATATTCAACACATCTTTAATGTTCCTACAGGCAGATAAATAGCCTTAAAATAAACGAGACGAACAAGACAGATGGCTTTATTGGGCTCAACAAGTATGCTTCTACTCTTTTTATTTTTATTTTATTTTTTATAGCTTATATAAGTGTAAAATGAGGTAATTGGAAGTTTGCATGTTATATTTCTAAGAATCCACGCATAAGAAGGACATTTTGTTTAGAAAGAAATAGTTTTTCTATAATTTTACCTTGGGAGTAGTTATAGAGGGCCCCTTGTGTCAAAATGATTTATGGCTTTTTGATTGACAGGGGGCGGGGCTGGCCTTTGACCTTCCGGATGTCATCTTTGAAGTGGTCATAAACCTTTGACCTTTGACATACCATGTCTGGGATATCGATTAACCTTTGACCTAACGATCAATCAAATGGACAGGTGGTGTTGACCGTTGACCTTTTGCGTTCCATCTCAGGAATATCGATTAACCTATGACCTTTCTAATCCAAAAAACATGTGTGTGTGAACATGTGTGGTTTTGACCGGATGACCTTTTTTAATCCAAAAAACATGTGTGGGAACATGTGTGGTTTTGTCCCCTTAGTGACCCCAGGAAGCGATCGATCAAAATGGACAGGTTGACCCCGGTTGTCTGGTTTTATCGTTGATGTAGCCCCCCTCCCTTACCAGAAAAGTCGTCTATAAAATGGGTGGTCTCTGTTCTACAGAATTCACAGAGGGAAACATGAGTTACATGAGTATGGACGCTTTATCCTTACCTAAAACCCCCGAGATCGATCTGAGTAGCGTGATGATGGATAATTTTCTAATATAGCCCGTATCACAATATGATCTGTAAAATAAAAGCGGCTTACTTGAGTGGTGAAGATTCTCTCACCGGCCTTCGGCCCTGTGACAGTCGGGGTGTGAGATGGCTGAAACATTCCTTCACCCAGAGAAAAAATCTTACACGAGCTAAAAAATGAAACCGTGTTTTATAGATTATAAGGAAAAAACATTTAGATTTAAATGTGAAAAAGCATCTTCCTTTATTTTCATCAAGATGTGAAAAACCTCTCATCAACAGCAGCATCTGTGTTTTTCTGTCTGTGTGTCTGTGCCTGTAACAGCATTACATTTCCGCATCCTGTGCTGAAACAGAAAAAAGTTCAAACTTTTCCTCACTATCTAAAGTTAAAACCATGGTTCATTTAAAAAGAATATCAATAAAATGCTTTATCATTCATTGTAAAATAAAACAACATGTTTTATAGATTATAAGTTGACTAACAGTCTATCAAAAAATAAAAGCCATCTTACTTTTCCAACTGGTTGACAAAGTAGTTCCTAAGATGTCCATACAATACTTTATGTGGTTTACAAAAGATGAGTTTAAAGTTGTGAAGATCTCCCTGTGATTCTCTCTCCCCCATGCATGGCCGGAGTGGCGTGTGTGTGCGTGTCTCTGTGTCATAAATGGCAATAAATGACTTTAGACCTCTCTGAATCCTCCAAGTCAGAGGGACCCTCTCACACTTATTTTCTGTGGGTGTGTGTGTGTGACAGCATTACTTTCCTGTATCCTGCTGAGACTGAGAATAAAATTATTGCACTTTCCCACAACCTGTTTCACTTAAAAGTAAAATTCAGGATGTTGAAAAACAATTCTCTCTCATTCACCTTTTGCCAACACCATCTGTATGTGTTTGTTCAGCCGAGAGATACAACACTTACAGCATCCCTTGCAACTACAGTAGCAATAAAACTTCTACCTTTTTTCCCACTAGCTAAAAGGTAAAACCATAGTTAATTTAAAAACAATATCAATAAAATGCTTTATCATTCATTGTAAAATAAAACAACATGTTTTATAGATTATAAGTTGACTAACAGTCTATCAAAAATAAAACCATCTTACTTTCCCCCAGCCGGTTAAATTACTTTACCAGATTTCTCACCCCTTAGCAGATTAGGCTTATCCTGTACACTGGGGGTGGGTGTCAAAGTTCACACCACCCTACCTCGGACGCAATATCTAATCTAAAACCCATGTGTTTAGCGAAAATACAAAATAACTACTCTATTCGTTGAAATGATTTAATTAAAACCATCGTGCTCAAATCGTTATCATCTTCATACGCTAGATAAACTATGAAAAAGAGCGGTGTCGCTTTTTTCATACGTAATCTAACATCGGTGCTGAGGGGACATTTCATTTCCAATCCAATAATACCATCTAGCGGAGAGACAGAGTATTACACTGACCATTTGTTTTCTCGGGAGTGTGATATAAATAGGCCTAAACCCATTTGATCATCATTTCAAATCTAAACGCGGTCCAACGAAAGTCTCTCTTCACAGGACGAGGAAAAACATTTTTTCTACAAGACTTTCTCCAAAACCTCAACAAAATGGATAATAGTGAGTAAAAACAATTCTTTATTTCCTACAATGCTTTGTTTATATGTGTAGAAAGCTTATACGTGTAGAATATCAATCAATGGTCTTTGATGCTTTAAATCTTTATTTTCCTACAATGTTTTGTTTATATGTGTAGAAAGCTTATACGTGTACAATATCAATCAATCGTCTTTGATGTTTTCTCTAGTTTAAATTCCTCTGGTTATTCGATCTTATTCTTAAATCTGAAACATTCATATATCACAGTTTTACTATTTTATCTTGATTATCGACGGCATGAACATAAGACCTAGACTGATTGTAGCCTACCGTTAAAACGATTGAAAGTATAATTAATTATCTATTAATTTTAAAAACATTTTAAGCTTATGATGTTTTTATAATTAAAAACTATTTAAAAGTTTAAATAACTCTAGCTCTATCTTGTAGATAAGGCTTATCTACCATGTAAGGGTTAATGCCCGACGAGGTGTCCATTGTCAGGTTTTAATGGACGACGGCGAGGCGTAAACCGGCCGACGCGCAGCGGAGGACGGTTGCCTCCGCCGAAGTCCATTAAAACCTGACAATGGACACCTCGGAGGGCATTAACCCGCTTATACCATGGTCACTTGCCAAATAAAACATTAGTTTATATTTTAATTAGGCTAAACCTAGTTTTTACAAATAATAACTTGCCTTGCCTGCCTGACTGTTTATTTAGCAACCGGAGATATAGTCCGCTTAGCTCGTATCCCTTCAGGTTCACAAATGCATTTTTTTTTCATGAAACACAAAGGTAGGCATAGTTTTTTTTTTTTTATTACACATAAAACAATTAATCAAACAACAATAAGAAAACAATTAGCTCTGATCTCCAGCGATTTGCGCTTAACGTTATAACGTTATAGAGGGCAATAAATTAATCAGATCAAAGAGAGGGTCATTTGCCTCAGGCTCCTTAGGCTTGAAACGCTGTAACGTTCAGCCTTCTCCTGCCTTGGTTGTCTGGACAGCTGCGTAAAACTCCCGCAGGGTCTCATTCAGGGGTGCGTTTCCCGAAAGCATCGTTATCCAACTATGGTCGCAAGTTACGTCGTTACCAATAGAGTTCAATCAATGGAGCAGAGCAGCAGCGGTGTAATTTTCTCCGTTTTATTTACATTTTTTCTTTCTTCAGCAGCATACCAGTCGTCAAAGTTGCCATATTCTCCATAAATGTTAAAAGAAATAGCACGAAGTCGCTCATTGTTGTATTAGGCTATAATATCTAACGTTAGATGATAGAGCATGTGACTGCCTGTTGCTATGGTTACTCACAGCCGTTGTAGGCAGCGCATTTATTTATTAATTTCGAATGGTAAACAGGCAGTTTCACCAGAACTACTTTACTAGGTGTCCTCTATCACTTTTTAACGGACACCCTGCAGCCAATCAGAATCGAGTATTCACCCAGACCATGGTATAAGTACAATTAAACTATTTTCAAGTTTCATTTATTTGCTTATCATTATCGTACAATGTAGCTCGTAAATACTTTTATTATGGTTTTATTTTGAAAAGCGCGCTTCTCTGCTCGGTCACGTGTCATCACAACATACCTTAGCCTAGCTTCGATGGCTTAGCTTAGCCCGCTTAGCCTTGACCATACCACGCTGTTTTCTCTGAAAATCCAATCGAACACTACATCGATGATCCCAGCGACATTTTCACAATCGTATGTTTATATGTTTTTGAAAAGTCAATACCGTTTTAATGAACATTATTTCACACTTTATTTAGAAACGTGCGAGGTTGAGTTTGACTGCACGTTCGTGATGGTCGCCCCCCAACGGCCCGTAGTAGATATGACTTCCGTTTGCAGATAAATACCGACCTCTTGAATGCCGCCCTCTTGCGTTTCTAGGTAACATGACATGCACTCCGTAGATAAATGCTCCCTCTCGCGTTCATTAGTAAAAACAACATGCGGTCTCCATTTCTCTAATTCTATACGACAAATTGTTTTCTTCTATTGCCACATAAATTGTTTTATTCTATTTTATGTTACATAAATTGTTTTCTTCTATTGCCACATAAATTGTTTTATTCTATTTTATGTCACATAAATGTTATTCATTTTAATCATGTCTTTTATGTTTTTCTCCTCTCTGTGTGTGTGTGTGTGTGTGTGTGTGTGTGTGTGTGTGTGTGTGTGTGTGTGTATGTGTGTGTGTTGGTACGTCATCTAACCTTCTCATAAAAACTCTCACCAAAGCTGTCTAATCCATAACAGTCTTTTTACTTCAAAGGTTCGGACGTGCAGCTGATTAATTTTGAGACCTTTGACACAGTGGCCAGTGTGGTCGAGGCCATTGATGCAGCTATTTCATGTAAGGACGTTTCTATTCCCTATAATTAAATTATTATAATTTAATTATTATTTTAATACAATTACTAATTTAATTTTTAATTCAAATGTTTAATTCACAGCCGCTGTCAAGGACTTCAATCTACTCGACGGTAACAATGGTGAGAAAGAGATCTATCTTCAAATGTAATGTTTTTATGTTTTTACGGAAATCTAATGTTTTTTATTTATTTTAGACGTCACTCACCCCGATCCCCCGCTGATCGATCTCACTCAAGACAGCGAAGAAGAGTGTGAGCCCGGAGCAAGCGACGCTGATTCCACAGCAGCTAACAGTCGCACTCAAGACAGCGAAGAAGAGTGTGTCCCCGGCACAAGCGACGGTGATTCCACAGCAGCTAACAGTCGCACTCAAGACAGCGAAGAAGAGTGTGTCCCCGGTACAAGCGCCGGTGTTTCCACATCGGCTAACAGTCTCACTCAAGACAGCGATGCTAATTCCACCACCGCTCAAGACAGCAAACATGACAGCGGTCCTAATTCTTCTTCAGACAACTTCGATGACCAGACAGTTCCTGACTCTACAGAATTAGAACCACCGAGAAAAAAAACTAAAAAGAGTCATCACACAGCCCCTCCAAACACGCCCGTCAGTTTTTATGGTAAGGCTATCACATGAGTAATATTTAATCTGAAATAATACACTATCATTATGATTGATTGTTTATTTTTCTCCCATCAGGACATGATTCAGACCATGACGCTGATGACGAATCCGACGATGTGACTATCTGCGGGGAGCCTCAACTCAACGGTTTGGAACGGAACTCTTGGACGCCATCGACCTCAAATGCTGGTCATACACCATACCACTATCCGCAGGAAGAGCGAGAGATCGATGTTGAAGAACTAGGACTGAACCCCCAACCGATCGATGTCGCCGATAACACTCAGATGCGTATGGTCGTTAATACTGCTGATCTGCAAACATTGTGTTTAGAAATACGCCGCTATCGTGACGATAGTGCATTGGCGAACGCTAGATTAATTGAGGAACTAATACATAATCGTGGGTTAATAGAAGCGACGTACGCGGATCTTTGCACATTCCGCTTAGAGATGCGTAGCAGATTTGATATCCAAGATCGTTTTATTATGGATATGTTCAATGAACTATTTTACCGTTTCCATAACCATAGGTAAAACGATAGTCATCATAGATACAATGTCTCAGGAAATGTAATACGCTGCTTAAGAATAATTTTATATTCTGTTTGTTTTTATACTCTTTTATACACAGTCCTTTGATATTTCTGTTTTTCTATTATCTCATGTTTTATGTACTGTGATTATTGTTTGCCAGTCTGAAATTAAAAAATGGATGGTTCACAACACTTTTTTACAGCCCCTCAATCAGACCAATCTGACGCTGAACTGTCTCCCGAGGAGCTTGAAATGATAAGTATGCTTCCAGATTCTTTAGAAACATCACACCCCACTACAGAGTTGGATCTTTTCGAATTAGCGGTAAATTTGAATCACAATCTCTACGATCCGCCCGTTCACCACACCACTGATTTAAACATCGATGATCACCCAGATGATAATGAGATTGAAATGATAACCACGCTTCCGGAGTCTTTAGAAGATTATCTCGATGTACAATCCCAACAGTGTCCTACTGAGTCCGAACTTTTTCAATTATTTGAAAATTCAAATTTCGATGAATCGAACGATCAGCACGGAGGTGTTTTAAACAATAGCGATAGTGACGATCGTCCTAACGCCGATAATGTTTCCCCTACAGGTAGTGTCGATAGTTTGTCTGAAGGTGTTCGTCCTAGAGAACAACGATTAAACCCCGACGAAATTGATAGGTTGTTGCGTAGCGGCGGGTTCGTTAACGGATATCGCATTACCCCGCGACCACGCTTTAACGGGGCGACGTTGAGAAGGACCATGAATCTGAGAGAGATCAACTCTACAGATTTGGTCGCTTATCACAGTTACTTACACGACATGCTAAATGACATCGTGACCTTCGCTAGAGATTTTGGAGGTGACGGTGCCGTGATCAATTTGACCCTTTCTGCTCCTACTCTTCAATCACCTGCCGGCGCTGTTTTAACCAGTGGAAATAATTATGACCCTAATTTGCTTTTTGAACAGATTGAAAAAATTCTGCAGAGCAACGATCAGTTACTATCGGATACTGCGGTAGAAATAGAAGCGTCTGTTGTGCAAAACCGACAGGGTGGGGGTCGTCGTAAACTTACAGATCTTGCCATTGATCAGGTAGTCAAACGAAAAAAGTCGAGTTTATTTTGTCCCACAAATATTTCAAATAACTTGTGTTTCTCCATTTGTCTGGCCCGTTTTCTCAACCCTCATCAACCCGAGAGCGAGTTAGAAAAACTGGCCGCAGCGATCCAAAACAGGGCGGGGTTCTCGATCCAAGATCGAATCGGTTTTAGCGACATAGCGTCGTTTGAAGACGAGCTAGACATTAAAATCGTCGTATTTCACCGATCCAACGCATCGACCCTAGAAAGTTACAAGAATAGCGACGAGCCGCATCCAAAAACATTGTTCCTCTATCTTGATAACGGTCATTACTACATGATATTGAACTTGCCGTCCTTCATCGGTACTTCATACGTATGCGAATTTTGTTACAAAGGTTACATGGATCGTGTAAGCCATCGTTGCAAGCAGGTGTGTAACATATGTTTCGACCCGGCATGTCACACCTATCCCAAAACGACGGTACACTGTTTAGATTGTATGCGTTTCTGCAAATCGACATATTGCTTCGAAATGCATAAAAAAAACAATCCTCCCGGTCAGCAAAAGCCAGCCTGCGATCTTATAAAATACTGCAAACAATGTAACAGCCGTTACACAGTTAAAGACGGTGTTAAGAAAAGAAAACACCAGTGTGCACCAGACAAATGCGAACACTGTCGCGAAATTCTTCCCGATGGTGGGGAGCATCAATGTTTCATACAACCGTTAGCGGCTAAGGAGTTGAGCGAGAAATATATTTTCTACGATTTTGAAACTCGCTATGAAAATGGCCGTCATGTTGCGAATTTCGTATGTGCCATGACGTTTCAGGGGCGAAAATATATTGCATGGGGTCCTCGTTGCATCGCAAAGCTAATCAAACGTTTCAGACAACCGCGATACGAAGGCTACTGCTTCATAGCCCATTACGCTGCGAAATTTGATTCGTTCCTACTTCTTGAGCAATTTTGTAAGTTAGGGATCGCGATCGAAGTCATCATGCAGGGATGTAAATTAGTGTACATGTACGACCCCGCTTTTAAGCAGCGTTACCTCGACAGTTATTCTTTTTTCCCGATGTCGTTATCTAAAATGCCGGCCGCGTTGGACCTAAAGACGACCGAAAAAGGGTACTTTCCCCATCTTTTCAACACTAGGGAAAATATTGACTATTTTGGACCTTACCCCGACAAAAAGTTCTACAACTACGATAACATGAGCGATAAGGATCAGCAAAAGTTTGATTCTTGGTACAGCACAGTTCAGGGTAAGTTCTTTTGCTTCAGGAGACAGCTGAAGGAGTATGGCATAAACGATGTGATCTTACTGCGAGAGGGGTGTATGAAATACCGTAGCTCGTTCATCGAATGCGCAGGAGTAGATCCTTTCAGTTTTACGACGATCGCCAGTTGTGCGATGGGTATCTTCAAAACCCATTTCCTCGAGAAAAATACGTTGGCTCTCACCCATAACAAAGCGTACGTCCGTCAGAGCAAATGCTATTCGAGCGCCTCTATAGAATGGTTAGAGTATGTCAAAAAGACTCGAAACGTCGACTTACACCACGCACTAAACCACGGTGAAGTATCCGTCGGTAAGTTCTTTTTAGATGGCTACTACGAACAAGACGGGGTGAGGCACGGGCTAGAGTTTAATGGTTGTTCGTGGCATGGTTGTTCCTGTCGCTACGAACCTTACCACCGTCACCCCTTGTCAGGGCTACCTTATGGTGTTCTCAGGAGCCAGTTTGACGATAAAGTTGAAATTCTGCAGAAGGCCTACGGTTTGCAAATCGAGGTCATGTGGGAATGTCGATGGAACAAAATGAAAAAGACTGACCCGTCTGTGATTGATTTTATGACGGGTTATAACGCGCCCGAGAGATTGAAACCGCGAGATGCCCTGTTCGGAGGTCGCACTAACGCTTATAAACTCTATCACAAGGCGGCCGAAGGTGAGAAAATAAGGTACCTCGATTTTACCAGCCTCTACCCCTTTTGTCAGGCTACGAAATGCTATCCGATCGAACATCCTCAAATCATATTCCAAGACTTTCAATCGATCGAAAATTATTTTGGAATCATTAAAGCGACCGTCTACCCACCCCGCAAATTACTACACCCCGTTCTCCCTTACAGATGTCAGGGAAAACTCATGTTCCCCCTATGTAGAACCTGCGCTCAAGAACAAAACCAGACCACGAGCTGTAGCCACAATGATCATGAAAGAGCCCTCTCTGGCTGCTGGGTCAGCATCGAGCTTTTAAAAGCCGTCGAAAAGGGTTACGTGATAGCCAAGATAGACGAGGTTTGGCATTTTCCGCAACGGTCGAACACGTTGTTTGCCGGTTACGTGAAAACGTTTTTACGTTTGAAGCAACAAGCGTCCGGTTACCCGTCTAATGTTCGCACGGACGCTGAGAAAGAGGCCTACGTTCGGCAGTATTTTGAAAAAGAGGGTATCCGACTCGACCCAAAACAAATCAGGTTCAACGCAGCTCAAAGAGCGATCACGAAATTAATTTTGAATAGTTTGTGGGGGAGGTTCTCCCTTAGAGAGAACTTACCGAAAACGACGTTGGTGAGCGAACCTGAAGATTTCACCAGCATCGTTTTCGGCAATACCGAGTCATTGTCCTATTTCACATTCATCTCGGACGACGTAGCTCTCGTTCAGCATAAACCAGGCAAAGACGATCTTTGCAAGACGCGAGACGTTAACGTGTTTATAGGGGCGTTTACAACAGCGTACGCCAGACTGGAATTGTACGAATTGATGGATAGGCTCGGCGATCGACTTTTATATTCGGACACCGATTCCGTCATCTTTGTGTCTAGGGAAGGCGACTGGGAACCGCCTTTAGGGGATCATTTGGGTGAGCTGACGAGCGAGGTAGACGAGGACGATTTCGTATCTTGTTTTTGCTCTAGCGCCCCCAAATCTTATGCGTTTGAAACGGCCAAAGGTAAGACCTGCATGAAGGCTAAGGGTATAACGCTGAACGCTAAAAATTCCCGAGTCATCAATATGGAGTCCCTGATTGGTCTGGTTGAAGGGTATGTGACGTCACGGGATAGTAGCAAACATATCCTGGCTCATAGCGAAAATATCGTGAGGCATAAAAAGACTCTGACCTTGCACAACAAATCAGTCGTTAAAAGCTTCAAGGTGGTGTATAATAAACGCAGGCTTTTACCTGATTTCACCACGCTTCCTTATGGATACTGATCAGATGATGAACAGGGGGTCGTTGGATGCATCCGATTTTGATTTCAGACTTCAGCATCCATTTAGTTGTGTTATAAGTGGTCCATCCAATTCTGGAAAGTCTTATTTTGTGAAACTTTTGTTGGAAAAAGGTTTAACTATAATCTCCAAGAAAATTGAGAATATTGTGTGGTTGTATGATTGTTGGCAACCTTTGTACGATGATGTGCTGAAACTGTATGACATTAAATTTGTACAAGGAATACCCGAGAGTCTGAATGATGATGATTTACTTCCTATTCATAAGACAAATCTTCTCATCGTCGATGATTTGATGCAGCAAGCTAGCACCAACCTGGAACTCCAGAGGGTTTTCACGCAATATTGTCATCACAGGAATCTCAGCGCGATATATATCGTTCAAAATTTATTCGTACAGGGTAAGTCCAGCCGTACCATCAGCTTAAACGCAAATTACATAATTTTGTTTAAAAACCCCCGCGACGTCAATCAAGTGGCCCTTCTAGGACGTCAGATGTACCCTGGAAACACGAAATACTTTATGGAATGTTATCACGACGCTGTCAATCAGCCTTTCGGCTACCTGATGATAGACTATAAAGCGAAAACTCCGGAGCAGTACCGTCTCAGAACAGGTTTGCTTTCAGACCGTCAAGTGGTTTATATTCCGAAAAAAAGAAGAGTGCGATAAATCATTATGTCCGCCAGACTTTGCAAATACCTGCCTGTGTTAAAACTGTTACATAAAGCCAGTCCTAAGCAACGACGGCTTATTTTACAATCGGCGTCCGATGAATTCATTTTGGCGCTGTGTGAAGTAGCGCTTAACATCCTATACGGTACGATCCCAGTCAATCGACAACAGTATCGTAAACTGAAAAAGAGAAGAGCGGAAATCAAATTTGTGGCAAATAAAAAAATCGGTATAGAAGCCAAGAAACGCGTCTTCAACCAGAAGGGCGGCTTCCTTTTACCTTTACTATCCATAGCCGTCCCATTTCTTACGAGCTTGATAGCGAATCGATAGGATGGAGTATGCTGAGAAGATGTATTTAGTTCCTCACCATCAGTTGGGAAAATTGAGAAGCGATAATGTTCGTGAGAACATTCAGCAGACCGTGGAAAACGATTTGGACGGTGCTATAAGAAATATATTACTGCGGACTGATTTGGATCCCTACGAAAAAGCCAAACTTTACGCAAATACCTTGAACAGGTTTTTGGCCATCGTTAAACAAGGCGATCGTGAGAGCTCGGTTTTAACCCTTTCTTTACCCGATAGAGATATCGATCATAAAGATGAGCAAACGCCTGATGCTAATGGCGAAAACGGCGCTGCTGTCGGGAATGTGGTGGACGAAGTGTTGAAGAATATCCCTTCGAGAAGTGTGAAAAACAGTAGATACATATTAGACAAGATGTCTAAAGCCGTAGGACTAAGTGGCTGGAATGAATCGGGGGAGTTTGTGTTCAGGGGTAAAGTCATACACGGTTCACATATGGTAGATTTGTTAAAAAATGTGACGGCCCCACAAAATATCCGACATGACCGGAGACCTCTAGGTTGGTCGGAGTTTCTACAGTTCTTTGCGGGTTTAAACATCCCTTTCTCCACAGTCCCCAATCATCAGGTGAGGTCCCTGATTCAATCTTTGAAGAACCACACCACCAGCCCCCCGACTACACCGCCTGCAGGATCTTATAATAAGGTACGAAAACATCTGTCCCGAGCCAGAACCGACGCTAAACCTTACAATAAGGGACGAAAAGATCTGCGCGGCGCTTCTCCGAGAGACTCTGGGTTTAAAATACCGACCGCCGAACCGCAAAAATGGCTGGATTTTTAAACAATTGTATGTTGTAATTAAATAAAGACGATAAAAATAAATGGTTTAAGATTTTATTTATAGATCATACACGTTTGTACACAAGATAACGTTTTATCATCACATACATGGGGTCTTAATCTCTTCACAAAGCGGGAAACCATTTTATCATTTTTTATATAATCTTCGCTGTATAGCTTCATCACACGATCGTAGTCACAACCTTTAGCTAAATGATATAGAAAAAACAAACAGTGCTGACCGCACGTATTGGACGAATAATCCTGGACTCGTCTGTCGGAATATAGTACTTGGGGTGGTTGGTAGCTAGAAAGTGTTCGATGGTGGTTGGGAATCGAGGGCTGTTGGGCGGATTGCCGAAGCTGTCGAAAAAACAAGCTGGACCCTGTTCGGGTAAATAAACGGCGAGCCAATGTTCGCCGGGTAGCCCCGCCGGGTCGGTGTTAACGATAGCCATCGTTGGTAAGGTCCTCACGGGTTTTTTCGGTAGTTGATCGCACGGTAGAACCCCGAGAAAATTTGTTTTACACGTCATTTTATCCATGATAGCTGTGAGTTGTAGCGTGTTCATCTCTCAGTAGTAATCGATCAACACCTGTCTCCGGTTAGACACTTCAATGAGGGAATCAAAAACGGCGTAAATTATTAAATTAACGGTATTGGGGAGAGGTTCTCTGAAACGAGCTTCGACTCTGATATTGCCGGACTTGATGAGTGAAATGTGCTGCCCACAGTCTTCATCCGGGGTGAGGTTAAAAGCAAAAAGCGTATATCCGTCGATGAAATCATCAATGTTGATAGCGAGCGCTCTGTCTTTTAGATGTCTCCCGGTCGCCATCACCAACTGATAATATTCACGAGCCGCCAGACCGGATTCGAAATTAGGCTGGAAAGGTTTGGCGGGGAATTGGTGAGAGTCGACGTAGACCGCTAAGAATTCTAAATTGAAATGTTTGAAGGAAAACGGATTTTTTGCGTAGGATCCTGTGAATGCGTCGTTGTCGACCATGCCGATGATGATAGACTTGGGTAAAGTTCCTAAAAACAGATTTTCCTGATTCAAAACGCGTGACCCCGTTGGGATTGAGAATGTTTTTAGACAGACCCTGTCGATGGCGTACTTGGCCGTTGTCGACAGTAACGTTTGCGCGTGAGCCAGTCTCACCGGAGGTGAAACGGTCACCTTCTTGACAAAAAGGGATGCCGCCAATATATTTAATTTGTAAGCCACATCGTCGCTCCTCATCAGACAGAATTCATCTTTTGCCCGTATAAATCGTAGCTTTAAATCGATCGAGTTCAATAAAAGTTTTTCCTGAAAGAATATATCGCCGTGTATGGGTGTGAACAGTTCCACCTCCCTGCTCCGTCTGGTATAGGTCGACCTCTTAAGCAATCCTTCGTTCTCACCGGCTGGGTCGCTGTCGTCCATTTCCCCGGCAGTATCCAACTGAAACAATGATGTAGAGAACAGGGATTGTAGCGTATCTTTACCGTAGTTGAGAAGGCTCTCAATCAAACATCTATAAGGATAGGTGTTTGAACTTTGCGAAATGAGCCTGTCGCCGAGGGTGATGTCTACTTGCGAAAACATAGTAGCTCCGAGGTAATTGATAGGGCCAACTTTCGAAGGGTGTGCGATCTCCGTGCCATCGGGTCTTGTGATTTTCACCCGTAGATAGAGCATGGTGTTATTGAGGTCTACATAATCATCGCCGGTCCCCGCGATAAAAAACTCTATCGGGGCAGAGTCCGAAAGGGCCGATAATGGAGCCAGTTCTAAATAACTGTTTTTCTCGATGATGGTCTGCGTCAGAGGGACCGTAAATAAGTCCAACTCGGACTTGATACACTCTCCCGACATACGATGCAGTAACGCCATGTTAGAATATGGTTTTTACGCCTCTCTTGATCGGCGGGTTTCGCCTAACAGTCTTCTTGCGCTTTCTACGAGCGAGTGAGACCTTGTTTGTTAGACGCGTTGTTTTCTTCTTTTTTATTGTCCATTGACCACGCCTTCTCAGACCGGGTGGTTTGGACGTTCTCTTACGAGCCATGACCATCAGACCGGATCCCCCTTGAGCTTTACCCTCATCGCCGTGCGAACGCATCAATACGTTCGAGAAGACGTCGGATGCTATATTTTTAGCAGCCGATTTTAGGTGGGGCTTTGCGATGCTGAAGCCTCTTTTTAACAGCGGTATGGCCATCCTGAACAAACCCCTAAAAATACCTCCTAACCCACTACCGTACATAACACCTCCGCCGGCATAACCCGGTAAAGCACCACCGGCTTGGTTTTGGTAGTAGGCGACATAATCCGGACTTTCTCTATAGTGATAATTCATTTTTCGGTTTAAAGTGTAGTTTTACAATGACTTTTCCGTAAGTGAAGGGAACCGGTTTGTTTTGATCGTCTTTAACCTCGATGGTGATGTCGGTGATGTGATCCTTGATGATCGATGCGTAATGCGGCTTGTCGTATCTAGCAATGACCGTCTCGTTGGTTTTACCCGATATATGTACACATCTCAAAAGGGGTACGTGAGAATCGCCGACCACTTGATATTGGACGATGTCGGTGTAAACGTACAATGTGTAGAAACCGCCGTTGATATCGGCCTGATGAGGGGCGTAAGTGATGGTACTTGTATTAAAATCAGCTTCTTTATGGTAGGCTGTACGACCGAGAGCATCATTCGGTATCGCTCCTAAAATCGTGGCGAGTTTTCCGTAGAATGTCACTGAAACGTTGGGTCTCGCTAACAGATAGACTTTATTTTTTATTTCGTCATAGTCCAATAGACCCGTCGGCTGGAGAACTTTATTTATCGCACGGATGATCGCCCGAATGTTCGCATAGTACCCACCGCTTATTTCTAATTTCCTCGAAACAGAAAACCCAGACAAGTCTTTTTTAAACAGCTCGCTGTCTTTTAGGCTTCCGGCATTCTGGGGTCCAGGGGCCGTGTGTAGCGTGAAATTTCCATCTTCGTCGCTAAAGGAGTACCAAGTTCTAGGATATTCGATTTCGGCTAGTCCTACCTGCCAGTGACCTTTCAAGTTTATAGCTTTCGCTAGTCTCGTTATATAGCTGGATATGGTATTTTCAGGATAAACCCATGATGACGCATTACATGGTAGCGTGACGTAGAACCCGTGCTCATCCATGGTGCTCCACCGATGTATGATCACCCCCGAGTTATGGTCAATGTGATTTAAGGAGATTTTAGGTCCACCAGAGTTTTTTTATCTACATAGCTGTTAAATTTTGAAGGCCATCCTAGCCATTTCACTAAAACGAGCGTAGATTTCCCTTGCTTTTTCTGTCCTAAAATTTTCTCTACCTTAAAAGATTTGTTTTTACTAACGATTATTTTTTGTAGTTCTTTTCCATAAAAAACCCCATCGAGGGCTTCGCCGTCATAATCACGGAGTCTGTAGACCGGCGGTTGACGCGGAATGCACGAGGATACGGTGAAAAACTCTTCTGTATAGTTCTGCTCGTATCCTTTAGTGAATGGGCCTCTCACTTTAGAAATCCTGACAACGTCGCCGACTTTAAATTTAAAGTCGGGTTTCTCTGTGTTCTTTGCAGTCCCGTACAAGTTTTGAAACACTTGACCTTCGTTGTCTCTGCTGACGTCCAGGGGTCTCATTCTGATACTACGGTGATAACTGGAATTGTATCCCTGCATAATGTCTTGTAAAACATCTATGTAACGTCGCGAATTGGTAGCCGTTAAAAATCTCCACATACGACTTTTTAGCGTTCTATTAAATCGTTCGACGACGCTGGCTTTCAAATCGGTAGCGGTAGCGAAATGATTAATCTCATGCTTTTTCATTAGATTTTGAAAATGTTTGTTAAAAAATTCTTTACCCTTGTCCGTCTGTAATTTCTGAGGTACTCGACCCTCTTTGAGTATAGATTCAAATGCTTTAGTAACCTCGACCCCACTCTTGTTCTTCAACACCCTAGACCATGCATGTTTGCTGAAAACATCTATGCACGTCAGAAGATATTTATGACCGTCATTATCCTTAGCATAAGCGATCATGTCCACGAGATCGGCTTGGAATTGCGTATCGATTCCGTATACCACCACCCTATTTCTCTTGTATTTTATCGGCGCTGTTTTGTGTAATGTGTAAGCGTCCTCCCCAGCCAACCATTCTGAAACCTGTTTATCGGATAGCCGGACTCCGCTATCCTTTAACACGGCATCTTTTAATCGTTTTTTACCACCTAAAGATCCGGGGTTAGACGGTGTGTAATAAGCTTTTTTCATCAGCTCGGACATGATGATGATTCAGCGACCAGTGAAAGAATGAGAGGTAAGGATGATTTGAATCAATCTTTTATTAAAAAATTACAGGATATAGATGATAAGTAAAACGGTTATAATGACAATCATGCATAGTATATGTACAAATGAATAGAGGTAAAAATGGTTATAATGACAATCATGCATAGTATATGTACAAATGAATAGAGGTAAAAATGGTTATAATGACAATCATGCATAGTATATGTACAAATGAATAGAGGTAAAATGGTTATAATGACAATCATGCATAGTATAAACAAAATAACCTAACTACATCGGCAAGTGGAATCTAACAGAAATAGAAATTTGCGGACCAAAGACATGTCTCTGTCTAGGATATAATCGCTAAACATTTCAATAATCCGCTTGATGTCTTTAATCAATTCTTGACGTTCGACCATCTCCTCTTCATCGTCGCTGTCGTATCGATTGGCTTTTTTGTCCATACAGATGCATATATCGGTTACATACGTGAACATGGTCAACGTGTCGACGAAACGTATCTTAGGTTGTGAATTGACCATGAAATCAAGAACAGCTTTTATCTTATCCCACACGGGATCATCTTCACCGAGGTTGTCAAGACATGAAGCTAGGAGAGTGACCCATCTATTATTACCACCCAGACTTCTCACATCTTTCATCATTTTCTTGAGATTGCACACACGTTTGCTGTCATCGTCATTACAAAGAATTTGGAACGTGTTATAGGATGAGTCCTCAATCATCTTCTTCATAAGGCCAACGATCTGCTCTTTGTAATGATCTTTAAACATCATTTCCATAAAGGCGTTTAGGTTGCCGGGGTCGTCGATGTCTTCTTCGGAGCTTTGATCGCTATCCATTGACGATTGAGAGCACTTCCCAGAGATCGACGACATCATGCACGATTTCTGTACAGGCTTTGTCCAAAAGTTTCCCCCTGATGTCGTCTAGCTTGGCTAGGATGAATGGTTCGTCTTTTAATTCGTGCAGAATAGCTCCGACCGTACCTTGAATTCGGTGGGCACGTGATCTTAACCCGCAGCGGTTGAGGATGATCGCGATGATGGAGTGGAAATTAGGTTTAAACAGCTTGGCAGACAGTTCATCAAAGTGAGTGTCGAAGTAGTAGTTGGGAGGGTCAAACAGGCATGAATGTTGCATCTGGCTAGGATGATCAATCAGACACCCCTCACACTCATCCTTGCGTTTGACTCCGATGAGATGTTCCAGTATCAGTACTGTAGCAGCTTTTATGATCTTGAATCCGATGTCGCTGAAGCAACCGTCTGTAGCGTCGAAACTGGGTTTAGCTACGGGGTCTGTAGCAACATCGGAAGATAGTGTAGGGTTGTAAGGTTCGTAGTCTGCGCCGGATTTATAACGCCAGTCCTTATGAGGGTCGGATGGTCCGGTATCGATAGTCAGAATATTGTCGACCGCGTTGTCGTCGAGAATGCTGCCGAAAGAGATACCGCAGCTACATACATGATCGGGCTCTGTACCGTTGTCTTCAGCCATGGTTTATATATATATAGTGGTCGAGAAGGGTCTGGTCGCCGGAATTTATCTGTAGAAGAGGGGGAGGAGTCGGTCTTTCATTTCTTCCACGGGTTGTAAAGACGTTTACGAGGGTCTGACAGCAGAGATTTAGGATGACCGTAGTGAATGGGGGCAGATGGTCTGGTAAAGGAACTGCTGCGGGGGCATCTCTCGGGGTGGAACAGCTGCACTTTGACTTTGTTGTATCCGTCAAGCATGTCACACCATTTGAACATTTTGTCGATGAGTGAAAAAACACTATTCAGCAGATCCAGATCACGCCAATTGAACATAAATTGTAAATCATAGAGATCATGATGTTCGTTAGGATCGATGACTCCTGACTTCATATTTGAGAGCTTTGTCTTGTCTTTACAGCAGAAGATGTAGACGAAGTCGTCGGGCTTCTTGCGGGTATGATCGCCAACCACCCGATACCTAAAGTCGGGTGTTATACCATCCCACTCTGCGGTGTACAAAGGCTCTTCCCCACCGTCATTGAGATCCTTCCAGACGAATTTGTAAAATAGAGACCAGTCTTTTTCAGGAAATGCAACGCACTCATCTTGACCAGCGCGAAACTCTTCCCCACTGTCGACGGTGTAGAGCATCACAAAACGCGAAGGTTTGTGAAATTTGTAGCCAAAGACACGCTTGCTACACATTATGAATTCGTCTTTAACCCATTCTGTATTTTCATGGAGAAAGCTTGTCAAACCGATGCGAGCGACTGACTTTTTCGGAGCCATAGCCAGATTATCCATCATCACGCTACTCAGATCGATCTCGGGGGTTTTAGGTAAGGATAAAGCGTCCATACTCATGTAACTCATGTTTCCCTCTGTGAATTCTGTAGAACAGAGACCACCCATTTTATAGACGACTTTTCTGGTAAGGGAGGGGGGCTACATCAACGATAAAACCAGACAACCGGGGTCAACCTGTCCATTTTGATCGATCGCTTCCTGGGGTCACTAAGGGGACAAAACCACACATGTTCCCACACATGTTTTTTGGATTAAAAAAG